TATTTATTCAATTTAAATTTAAGATTTTATTTAAATAATATTTTTATCCAAATATATGCTTTTATTTTATTTAGACCTAATTTAAATAAAAAAATTAAATTATCAAATAACTTAAAAATCTCACTCAAATGTCAAATCTCTTGTCACGTGCGCAAGGCATGGCAATATTTTGCCATCCAAGCAGCCAAGCGGGTGTGTCCCAAACGGCAGTAAAGCCAGGCGACGTAGTCTCAAACGGCAGTTAAGTTGGCGGAAGAAGAAGGGCTTAATTGCTTTGATCCCAGAGTTCAAGGGCTTATATGCATCAATTAAAGTCTAGGGACTTAATAGCGATTCTGGGGTCAGTTCAGGGGCTTAACTTATGGTTTTGCCTAAAAAAATAGTAAAATAAGGAAGAATTCTCGATTACAAGATACATGTGAGAGGGAGAAGGTTAGAAATTTAGGGCAAATTTAGTGCAAGGAGAAACAAAGAGAGATGATGTGGAATAGGTCCCATAATGAGAAGTTGCACAAAAAATAATTAAGAATGATGGGTAATGTGTGACTGTTTACATTTTAACGGTGAAAAAGATGCTGTTACCCTTAAAATGGACGGAAGGATGAAATGGAGCTCTTTTTGAATAGTAAAGAACCTAAATTCAAGTGGAGGGAGGACATGAGGCAACTTCATGGTAAAAGGTTTAAATTAAAAAAGGACAACGGCTGGCTTTAACCTGGGCGGGATACATACTTTTGACATATAAAACTAAAACTTAATAAAAGTGACCGCCCTTTACCCTGGCTAAAGTTACGTATAAATGTATTTTTTATTTTTTTAAGATAACGATTTGAATTTCATTTATTGTGAATTTGATTTATTGTGAATTTATTAAAAAAAAAAAAAAAACATCTCTTCAATGGGAAAGGTCGACAAGGAGATGAAAATCTGGAGCAAAAGCAATTGTCCCATCTCAAACAAAATAAAATAAAATATGAAGCAAAAGCGTAACCGCGTGACTCACTTTTTTATTCCAAGTGACCGGAAAAGTCCGTCCTTCTCTGTTGTTTCCTAGCATAAAAATCTGGAGCAAAAGCAATTGCCTTATCTCAAACAAAATAAAATAAAATCTGAAACAAAAACATAACCGCGTGCGTGGCTCACTTTTTTATTCCAAGTGACTGGAATAGTCCGTCCTTCTCTGTTGTTTCCTAGCATGAACATGTGACTCCCTTTAATTTTTTTGAAGATAGGCAATGGCATGTGACACCCTTTACAATTTCAATGCAGAAATCCAGTCCAAAAAATATATAATAATGACTAACCCAGTCAATGAGTCAGTCACCGCTTAACACGCTTTGATTGTTGTCTT